AAAAAAAAAAAAAAAAAAAAAAAAAAAAATCAAAAGGAAGGGAGTGAAATTCAAACTATTAACTCTCATCGTCTAATGGAAGAAGTATATCAGTTTTGTTACGAGACAACCATCATCAGTTGAAACAAGGATTGGAAAACTTTTTTCTGCAAAAGGTCAGACTAAATATTTTAGGCTTTGCAGGTGGTATCATTGCTGTGTCAACTACTCAACTCTGCCTGTGTAGCACAAAAAGAGCCGTAAACAAATGAGTATGGCTGTATTCTAATAAAACTTTATTTACAAAGACAGTCAACTGGCCAAATATGTCCTACAGGCTATAGTTTGCTGACCCCTAAGTCAGAAGATTCTTGGATGTAAGCACCAGACCTCTTCTGGCAGTGCAGGAATTTGGCTTGAGTGCAACAGCCACTAGCATCAGTGCTACTTCAGTGACAGAAACTCAACCTTGCAGCTGATGCTACCTGCCTCTACAGCCAAAGAGAGAAAGTTAGCTCCCCATTACCTTTTCTCTCATGTCATTAAGTCCTAAACCAAGTGTGGTGTGGGCATACGGTATTGGTGAAAGCTAGGTCACTGCCAGTGCCCTAGAAGCAAGGAAGTTTGAGAAGCAAGTATCTAAATTTTTATCTCCTTTAGGGGACAGCATCTTTGCCACCAAGAAGACTCATAAAACAGGGGACACGCGGCTTCCCTGGTGGCACAGCAGTTAAGAATCCGCCTGCCAATGCAGGGGACACAGGTTCGAGCCCTGGTCTGGGAAGATCCCATATGAGCACGTGTGCCACCACTACTGAAGCCCGCATGCCTACAGCCCGTGTTCTGCAACAAGAGAAGCCACCGCAATGAAAAGCCCGCGCACCGCAACAAAGAGTAGCCCCCCCTCGCCGCAACTAGAGAAAGCCCGCATGCAGCAACGGAGACCCAACTCAGCCATAAAAAAACAAATAAATAAATTTTTTTTAAAAAAACGGGGGACACAAAGTGCTGTGCAGTAAAAACAAATGACAACTATCCATTTCAGTTAACTCTTACTTATACCTTCCTTCCATATATAAATTGGTTTTTTAAAAAATACTCCAGCCTATCATCATCACTAATCAACAGGGAAATGCACATCAAAACCACAATGAGGGCTTCCCTCGTGGCATAGTGGTTAAGAATCTGCCTGCCAATGCAGGGGACACGGGTTCGAGCCCTGGTCTGGGAAGATCCCACATGCCACGGAGCAACTAAGCCCGTGTGCCACAACTACTGAGCCTGCACGTCTGGAGCCCGTGATCCACAACGGGAGAGGCCACGACAGTGAGAGGCCCGCGCACCGCAATGAAGAGTGGCCCGCACTTGCCGCAACTGGAGAAAGCCCACGCACAGAAACAAAGACCCAACACAGCCAAAAATTAATTAATTAATTAATTAATTTAAAAAAAAAACACAATGAGATATCACTTCACATCTGTCAGAATGGCCATCACCAAAAAGATCAGAAATAACAAGTGGTAGAGAGGATGTGGAGAAAACCGTTCTCATGCATGCACTATTGGTGGGAATGTAAATTGGTGCAGCCTGTGGAAAACAGTATGGAGGTTTCTCCAAAACCTAAAAATAGAACTACCATATGATCCAACAATTCCACTCCTAGGTATATATCTGAAGAAAATGAAAATGCACCCCAATGTTCATAGCAGCATTATTTACAATAGCCAAGATATGGAAGCAACCTAAGTGTCCATCAACAGATGAATGGATAAAAATGTGATACACACACACACACACACACACACACACACACACACAATGGAATACTACTCATCCATAAAAAAGAATGAAATTTTTGCCATTTGCAGCAACACAGATGGAGGGTATTATGCTAAGTGAAATAAATCAGACAGAGAAAAACAAATACTCATATGTAGAATCTAAAACTACAACAAACTAGTGAATATAACAACGACAAAAAAAGCAGACTCACAGATATTGAGAACAAACTAGTGGTTACCAGTGGGGAGAGGGGAATGGGGAGGGGAAAGATGGGGCAGGGGATTAAGAGGTACAAATTGCTATGTATAAAATACATAAGCTATAAGAATATATTGTACAACACAGGGAATATAGCCAATATTTTATAATAACTATAAATGAAATATAACCTTTAAAATTTGTGAATCACTATGTTGCACACCTGAAACATAGACTATTTACCCCAACTATACCTCAATAAAAAAAAGAACAGTAGAGAAAAAAATACACTCCAGCCTAACATATTGTCACTAACCCTAACAAACTAAAAATGCTCTCACCTTCTCCCCAAAAAAGGGACAACACACAGTCTCATTAGTTGCAACATCCCAGCATTAAATTCTAAGGAATTTATCTCTATTTGTTGAGTGCTTTAAGTACCAGGTACTACTCTAAGCCTTCATGCCTTTGTTCATGCTGCTATTTCTGACTGGAATAGCCTTATCTCTCCTTATCTCCCTTTGTTTCCAGGAAAACTCTTAATCTTCAGGTGTCCTCTCCTCTAACTGGCCATCTCTGATGCAGTCCTGCCCAAAAGTTTGAATAGGTCTTCCTCCCTTAGGATATTAGAGCACCTCATGAAAACTCTTCTCACCTTATTTACCACAGGTGTCTTACATTTCCAGCCAGACTGTAATTCCCTTTGCTAAGGGAATGTTTCATTCATTCATTTCCATTCCCTCAGTACCTAATCAAAGCCTCATACATAGAAGGTTCTCAACAATTATACCTACTGAATCCAAACAAATCTAAACAATAAGAGCATCACATACCTTTTGGCCCAGCCGCCTAATTTCCTTTTGTCTTGCTGATTCCTCTTATATCCCAGGATATATTCTTGTTTTCAAGGCTGCCTTAAATATCTCTCCTAAATATTTAAAATCCTGCAGCAACACAAGTGCTTCTTTAAAAAGATGATTATAAATAAGTTCTTTATA